GAAAGCGAAAGTCGAAACCGAAGTTGATCTAGGAAGCCTCACCCGTTCGTTGCGGTGTCGTACCTCGTATTGTCGATTTCAATTCCCCACGGATCTAATTATTCATCTGCCTGTTTAATCTATTAATATTAATCGGGTGGTGATAATAATAAAAATAATAAAATTATAATTTGAAGTTCCGGAGAAATCCCTCCAGGCACCCATGGGACAAACGCTAAATTGCCCGTACCTGAGGCCATTACCCAATCAACGGTGTCCGGTGGGGCTGTGAAATCTCGCTTGTCTCGGTGGAGGCGACCGAGCGCCACCGCTGCTGGGAGGCGCGCTAACTTCATCCGGCGCTAGTTAGATTATCTCCTGGCGGTTCGCGGCCTCCCACTGGCTCCGCACGGGAATAAATAATTATAATAATAATAATAATAATAATAATAAGAGGTGATCCCTGCTAAAGGGTTGTTGACACGTCTTGACCAAGTGAAACCGCCGCCAGCTGGGTGCACTCCCCTTTACGGTATAGGTACCTCCGTATTCTCGCAACAGACAAGAATAGCAGATCTGCCTCAATTATTTGTTTGGTCCTTGGGAGATCGTCCGGCCTTAGTACTCCGAGTATCACAACTCCCCCCATTGTTTCTTCTTGTTGCACAGGCCAGGCATACTATTGTTTCGCCTCTCCTCAAAAATAACGGCCTGCTCCTGATTCCTGAAGGGAAGGAAGTTAGGAACCGAACCCCTGGTCATGTTTCTGGAGTTCCTACTCCGTAGTTATCCGTAGTTACCTACCTACCTAACTTCTTCCCCCCCCCTCCCCTCCTCGTCCCCTCATGAGCGATGATAGACTAGCACCTTTCCGTGCCTAGCTAAGACTAAGTTACTTCTTAGTCTTACTCCGTACGGAGTCCTCCCTGACAGACTCACCTCCGCCCCCTACCTTAGCGCTGCAGACTAACTCTTAAGAGGGTGTGCCATCCGCTCTGCTGATTGGGCTCTCGTCTGCTGCATCCCCTCGTTGACCTAACCAAGTCGTCGCCCATGTGTCTTAGTGGCTCTTCCCCCCCAACGCCACTTGGACCGTACTCACAGTCTCGCTCAGTACGTTGGTCGATCATGGATGGTCTGGGTGATATGTATCTATTTCGAGAACCGTTCGTCTTGAGGCGGATGGCAGACACCGTTGGATTTGGCTTAGCTAGAGGACGACGTTCCTCATCCGTGCTGGTCGGCATGATGGCCGCATCTAGATTGATCATTAGTTACTCAAATTCCACTCACGATTCCCTTGTCAAGATAGGCTAAGGTAATCCTCATGGTCATGAGACTACCACGTGATCCAGGCCTCTGCCGAGAGATGCTGACCGTCCAACATACATACAACGGCATATATACGGAGTGCACTAACGCCTGTTGCCCCGGGTTTCCCCTCTCCCCCCAGCGTTGGATCTGAGATGATCATTGTACTTGCGCACTTGTCCGGACAATAACGAGGAGACAAGGATTATACCATGGTGTTTTTTTTTTTTTTTTTTTTTTTTTTTTTTTCGGCGACGGACAGGCGAGGGATGGCGAAAGGTTACTGGGCGGCCATCCTCTCTGCGATCAGTACGTGTTCTTATCGGGGTTGCATCAAAGCTCCGCTACCAAACGAGCTAGATGCATCCATCGCTGCCGAATTTCCAGTTTTAACAGCCCTTTTCGAAGCCTCACCTGCCCGTTTGATCCGACTACGGCCGACACTGCACCTTATGTAGAATTTTCGGGCAACAGAGAACAAAGGCATAACGGTCCAGAACGCTCGTCGAAGCCTGACGTGGTATTCCAGCGCCTTTGCGGCTTTTCCGAGACATCGGACGGTCGCTTCTCTCTCCACCATGAGCAACCTGACACCTACTCCGGTGTACGTCTCATGTGTTGTTCATTAAGGTGGATCGCCTTCGGCTCTCAGATCTTCTTGCATGGAAGTCTGGATTTGAGAGAATTAAGGCACCAGTGGGATCGAATCGATCAACGGGGCAACACTTCGTGGCCATGTCACGCCCACAAGAGTTCAGGCCCTTCGATAAAGAATCAAAGGTTTTACATCGTCGAGTCAAGAAAGGCTTGACAGCCTAATCGATCCAGGCGCCAATGGTCTTACAGCCTCCGTCAATTTATCCTACCGTTACGAGCGCCTTGGAAGTAAATATTGGCATCTGACTCCGTGTTACATCGACTACGTCTAACATGACATTACCGGAAACCCTTCACCAGATGGACATGTAGATACTGCGATGATACTGAAGTGTCAGATTCACCTCGTGCAGCCTGGTAAGATTGATCTCAGAAATCTATTCAGCGATCGCAGTACGAAGTAATGCCCCATAATACAGTTGACAGGCACACGTGAGTTCATTTGTCCAGTATTCCCCTCGCATCGTACACATAGGCAACTGATGCGCGTATGATGAGACCGACTCACAACTAGTCCTTGCGCCTTGCAGATGGAAATCCTTATAACTAAGGAGAAGGGAGCTCAATAATCGACCTCGAAGCAAGGGATATCTTGAATTCAATATTGGTATCCACCTGCTTTGCCATGTCTACTGATCTGACTCTTTTTCCCCTTCTTCCCCTGTCTATCCCATGTCTACGGCGTATTTATCTACACATCACACGATCTAAAAAAGCTCCCCTGTACGAGCGGGGATAATATCCTGGCGACAGGTCCATGGCTGTACCTGTGTACAGGACTATTGTATTTTATACGGTGTCGACCCATGGATCGCGGCGGAAGAAGTCTTCTAGAAAACCTTTCTATCCATGGATCCCGCCGCATTGAAAATCGATCGAATCCACTTCGCAAATCTGAGTTCGAACTCTTGGGGCCGAGCGAGAAAAAAAAAAAAAAAATTAAGGGTCAACGGCCATGTCCGATCCTCGTGATGTCATTTTCCGATGCACTGCATATGTTGTGTCTGTCCGCAATAAAAGTGCCGTGGATGTCATAGTGGGCATGCTTTGTTTTTCCTCTCGAGTCTCCGAAGGCGGAAGGAAGAATGGATGACAGCAAGAGAGTCGAAAATTGGAGTCCATTGGAATGAGGAGCATCGATGTCTCTGATTAGTTTCGCCATATCTAATTTTGGATCCCGACAGATACAGATCCTCGAGTCGCCTTTTCTGCCCGTGATATGGCACACCTAAAACTTGGGTTCCAACAGCCGAGATTCGCGGGCTCATATCTAGCCCATATACCCCTTATGGATATGTCAGACAGATCTATCCGCCAGGACCGAGCGTGTTAGTGCACATGCGCTACATGAAAAATGTGAATGCTCGTTTCGCGTGCAAGCAAGGAAATGGGCATCATTGTTTGTCTGGAATAGGACTCCTTTAATAAAATGGCAAAGCATACATCCCCATACCGAACCAGCGTTAGCAGACGATGCAGAGGCCAGTCTAGCCATTTGACAGGTAATTAGCCGGGAATTCAGTGTTGCTTACTTCTCTACGGTAGGTCTAGCTTATCAGTTCTATAATCTAGGACATCTCGCAATTGAGGTATATGAATACCCAAGGACATTCGTATGTGCCCACAGTCGATAAGCGCATACCGTTATACCTAATGTTATACTAATTTGGCCTGAATGCTAGGTCCCCTGTCTCCAAGAAAGAAAATCACTTTTGCACATATGCTGCCTATGCTTTAACACATTGAATCACCCGCGCGACATATATACGCGGGCACTGACTTGTGGTTCTCTCATAATCAAAGGTCAAATTAACACACCTCTTAATCGCTCCGGTGTTCTACAGAAGGCCCAATATTATACTAGAGCAACGGTTCCAACCCTGCGAGAGACCACTTCAGCAATACGCAGAGCTCAATCAGAGAGGAAAACGAATGAGTAGGGCTTTCTCGTGGCCTCTCATTTGGTGGTCTCCTCACATCAATGTTCTTCTCGTTAGTATGCTGGATGATCCCAAAGATTTTTCTAAGTTTGGAACAAATCTGCTCGCAGAGTAGGCAATCATAACGAACAAAACTTGATGGGAAGTAGAATAGAATTTGTTGGTTCACACGTCTCTAGGCGAATGGATTTGAACCATAATGATTTGAAGATAATTTTCAGTCTTCTGATTAGAACAACTCCCGGGTGGAAGCGACAGACGTCTATTTTTGTTTTTAAACTACAGACTAAATATGTGTAGTGTAGAATGGTCGATATTCTTGTTCATCCAGTTCGATCGGAGCATCGGTTGTCCATTATATTGAGGTGTGAATAGATCCTATTCGCAGCGTTCATTTTCTTGACACAGTGAAGTCACAAAAACGAACAATTATAATGATGGACACCTGAATATATTATTCTATCAAATGTGGATTAAAAGACTGCTGGTCCATGGTCGTTGGCCGGGACTCGGTCTGGGTAGGGCTTTGCAACTAGGGCTTACTCGACATTCAACCAAGCTTCTCGACCACGTCCATAACCAGAATAGCGCCTAACCAAAAGGACAACAAGAAGAAAAGGAACATGAAGTAATAGGCCTAGAGCATAAAGAAGAGGGAATATGGAAGAAAGTAGTAGAAAGAGTCAGACTACCGATCCCTTCAGGGTGATCGAGCAGAACGTACCCGGTGACGCCAAATGCGCCATTACGACAGCAATGGGGTCGCGAGGATCCTCCCATTGGATTTTCTCCAGTCGATTCGATCATTGAATGCAGGGATTTGAGTCTGCGAGTGTCCCCGCAATAACGTTCCCAGACTCTCAGTTATGATGAGAATGGCGAACCAAGGCGTGGCCAGTCCCGATGATATCATCGCCGAACAAGACGTCATTCGCCTCGACTGGGAAGGATATCTCGACCACCCAACATATAATAAGCTCTGATCTTTCCAGAAGTAGACTTTTCTTTAGCAGATTCACACACAATCATCATCTAAAATAATCACAACTTCGTCCTCTTTCATCACCCACACACCACTCCTATCAAATTCGATACATATCACATCCTCTCAAAATGTCTTCCAACACCTTCCACACCACCACTGAAGACCTCCGCAAGGCGGAATCCAAGCTTTCCAACGCCCACGGTGGCAACCCCCCTAAGGACTCCGACGTCTCCGCCATGAAGGTCAGTTGCTTATGGCTCTAGCTATATCCCACCATGCCCGCCACGACCGACACTAACCCAGCATCTATAGTCCGTCCTCGAGAACAACACCAACAAGCAGGCCGAGATTGATCAGGTCAAGGCCAACCTCCCTTTGCCCGAGCAGCCCCCAAAGCCCAGCGACTGGAACTCCGCCGACCAGCGCACCGTCAACGTCGGCTCCGGCCGCACGGAGGCCCCCGTCTCCTTCGAGGGCAACAGCGCTCTGCGCGAGCCCGCCACAGCAGGCAGCAGTGTTCGCGAGAACGGCGATGAGTGGCACCACAACACCGCGCCTTTGAGCAACGTCGGTCGCCAGGCTAAGGATAACCTTGACGGTCTTCCCCGTGATGCCCTGGCCCGGTAAATGACGAGATGTTGGGAGTTTGGTCTTTATTCTCTTTGATTTCGGGAGTGAACTACTGTGGTTCACGATTTATGATGAAGATAATGATTAATTTCTTGCATGTACTAGTAATTTGAATGACCAGTACTTTTGAGCATGATATCTTTTTTCCCTGTAATTCGTCGGTAAACTCCGGTACTTCCAAGCGCCTACAGATGGATGGAAAAAACTTAAACGGCAATATGAGCCCAGGTGATATCCAGAGATAATCATGGCTGATTTGATCATAATTTTTGGTAGGATATGGGTACTATAACTAAAGACCAAGCCGCGCCTTGTCACATCCCGAGTAGAGCTCATAGCGCCAAACGAAACAGTAGCCGGCGGCAATTTGATCATGTCGCTACAGAGCCTTGATAGCTTACCGACGTCGGTGATGATCCGTCTGAAGTGCAGAGAACAAGCTGAACGATTACCAGGTAATCTAATTTTATCTTACCAAAAATGTTGGAATTCTGGCTTCTTAACGAGGTCAGCTTCTTCACTCACTCGTATAGTACAAAATTGCTTCTCTTTCGCGGATTTTCAGCACAAGACACAAACTATCCAGCGTGGCAGTCAATTCCAATCAGCTTCTAACTGTGGAAAGTTAACAATGTTTGACAAACTCATCTGAACCCCAGACGCCCTTCCATATTCCATGAATTTAGGCCGGATTCTGAATGGGTGACGATAGGAGCAATGGAGACGCCCTTACGAACTCCAATATGCAACCAAAATATATATTCACCTTTAGTTCGTGTTACTGAATCTGCCCTAAGTGTTAACGGCATTTTGTAGCATACACGTACTATTAATAGGCGCTTAAAGTTGGTCTGAAAAGGCTCGTGACAAAGCCCATCGTACAGGCAGTGAGCAATGGGAATACGGACCTGCAGAAACAGGTATAAAATCCGGCAGGCTTTTTTTTTTTTTTTTTTTTTTTCAGTATAAGCTCAATTTAGACAGCACCGATCGCCATGGTGTATTCCGAGAAGACTTGAAACTCCTGCAGTCGTGGATGTAGAAACTTGTCAACCCAGCCCCGACGCCATTCATCCTCGTACCAGCAGGTGTAAAGAGCTTTGCAGTACTCCCAATAATCCGGATACCAGCCTGCCTGACCCCAGTCGACGATGGCAATGACTCGAAAGGGCGCGGTCGATGAAATCATGATGTTACCTCGGTGAAGATCGGCGTGAGTAAATTTGACGTCTCCACCATCAGGCAAGAGGTCTCTATAGGGATCTTTATATTTCAGGGACACCGGAAGACGCGATTGAGGCAAGGAAGAAAACCAATCATTAAATTTCTTTATATTTGGAAATGGACCAGCTTCTGTTAGTGCCTGGAAGATATAATCGGGAAGTTTTTGATAGTTGATAGATCCTAAAAAGACAAATTAATACCTGCAATGAATTTGCGTCTACATGGGTCAGGGCGTACCAATATACCTGCCGGACTTTTGGCTAAGTTGACGTAAAGATCTAATGATTTCGTATAACTGATTGCGCATCATTTCTTTGTCTGTACTGTGTAGATCATCCCATCGATCAAGTAACGTATGTCCTTCGATAAGCTGCATGTAAATGAATACGTAGCCCTCGTCATCAACACGCCATCCGAAAGGTTCAGGAACCGGCACAGTGCCTTGAAAGGCCCGCTGAACCATCCAAAGGCACTGAGCTTCTGCAACCGTAACGTAGCGACCAAACTTGACGAAAATATTCGGGTTTCTGAAGATAATAGGTTTGGGTTGAGGGCTCGTACATATATCTGTTGACAGGGCCCGGACTTGTGCTGGCGTCGGTAGCCGCTGGCCGGGAGTCTTGAAGAAAGTTGAATCCAGAAAGTCTATCTCCAGCTTTGTGCCATCAGGAGGACGCGGGGCAAGAAACAAACGAGTCTCCGTCATATTGACTGATGAAGTTGCAAGCGTGGGAATGCAGGGGGACAAGGGGGTAGGAGGGCGCCTTTGTTCGGAGCACAGCCTCACCTATTGATGGCTGGGCCAACCAGCCACAGATGTATATAATCCGCTAGCCGGATAGAGTATAAGGTGGCAGATATGTGTGGCAGTCCGGAGGGCTTGGCAGGAAATGACTAATTTACTGAATTAGGTGATCTCCACTGATTCAATATGAATGGCCTTGAGTTCTAAACTACGTGAAAGAGCTCATGTTTATGCATTCTCTGGAGCTTCAAAATAATAGTATTGGGGCTTATTATTCTCTGGCAGAGGAAGCTTCTGAGTGGCTAATTACGAACGAGCTCGGTTTGAAGGGCTTACTCATCTCCCTTCCAATAACGTATCCGGTAAGCGGGCGCCGCACGCAAGCGAGCGCCGCAGCTCCGTATCCCATACTAATTCACCGTTTTTTAAGCTCTAATATCTTTATCATCATCCGCTCAATTATAATAAGATATCAACCATAG